AATAATTGATGAGTATTTGAGTAGAGTGTACACATTTTGTTATATCATTTGTATGATCTACATAATATAAACATGACTAATAAATAATAAGAAATGTAACAGCTGTGCATTTATAACATTTGATTACTTAACAGTGCACAACTGGTTATCACCGTCATATCTGTTTATATAATAAATTGTACTTTTCAATTAAGTGCACGGGCCTACTAGTGGCCGAAGCGTAGTTGAACACTGGTAGTTCTGTCTCAGGTTAGAATGCCGGGAATGGGCTGGCTACATGACGTTTTCTTGGTTTTCCCCATTTGTAACTGGTATACGAGCCAGTTTTAAAAAATCTTCTACAGAGGGATCCCTCCTGTTAGGCAGATATAACTCGAAGCTTTGCCGTAATCACATAAAACAAACTCATGGAGTTGGTATAATTAATGTGTTTTAGGTATATTACCGAGTGTTCTATGAGACAGTAAACAACTCACACATGTTTGATTGCTCATGTATTCATATGCTTTATTTGATCTTCATTTTGCTTCATCTGCTGGCTGTGAGGATGTAAATATCAGCCATATAGACTTTTGTCGTAGAAGTTTTTTTTTTTTTTTTTTTTTTTTTGGGGGGGTCTGTTTGTTTGTTTGAATGGACAGAACAATATTTATGAGCCATAAAGTTAGTCAAGAAAATGCTTTCACCAAGTCACAAATTTTCCAGTGAGCCATCAAATTTTCATTGGAATGCAGACAACAGAAAATACACATAAGTAATGTCTGATAAATAGACTTATCCAGCACACGTTTTAAACTATTTTTAGTGTATACAGAATTTGGCTATTACTGATGTAATTGATTACTATAACCAGAACTGTTACTTGAAATGCCAGAGTGGAGATCAAAGTTATTAATTTGATTGCAATCACCTTTCTATTATCTTCCATTACTAACAATAAAGTTTAAAACGAAAAGAGTGTGAGCGATACAAAACAACACGAAGAAGCGAATGTCACTGGAAAGGAAACGTCACTTTCGCCAATCTGAGCGATAACTGATTCTTGTTTGGCTTTCAGGTGAAGTTTTCAAGTGAAGATGGTAATCTTATTTCACCAAAGAGCGTTTCTCAGAACTGTTCCAGCAAACGTTTTGTTCCAGCAACAAATATTGTATGTGATAAGGGTTTAAGACAATAAATATTCCCTTTAGATGGGGAAAGTGGTCCTATGAGATCAATATGGATGACAGAAAATCTTCGTGGTGGTACTTCAAACTCGCCTAATTTTGTTTTGGTATGCCGACTGATTTTAGCTTTTTAGCAAGGAATGCAAGTTCTTGTCCACAGCTGTACATCTTTTTTTATGTGAGGCCAAATGAATTTTGATGTCATTAATTTCACAGTCGATTTTATTCCTGGATGTGATAAACCATGAATTCGCTGAAAGACATATTTTCTGAAAGCCTGAGGAATATACGACGGCCGAACATGTTTAGTTGATGTATCACACCACAAATATTTCCCCGAAGGTAGAGAACATTGCTTGAAATTCAAGGAAGTAGTGGTTTGCAAACTCTTCAGTTCTTCATCTTGAGTTTGTTCATCAGCTATTTTATCATAATCTATCGATGAAATTTCATTAACTCTAGATAATGTATCCGCCACAATATTATTCTCACCTTTTAAATATTTGATATCAGTCGAAAACCTGGGAGATGTATTGAAGTTGGCGAGCATGTCTAGGTGTTGCTTTGTCAAGTTTTTGACGAAAGGCGAATATTAAGGGCTTGTGATCTGTATAAATTGTAAATACTCTTCCTTCTAGATAATGCTTAAAGTGTCTAACTGAAAGATATATGCTTAATAGTTCTCTATCATAGGTGCTATATTTTTGCTAAGTATTATTTAATTTTTTAGAAAAAAAATGCTATTGGTTTCCACAAGGAGTTTTCATATTGTTGCAACACTGAGCCAATCGCCGTATCTGAAGCATCTGTAAATAACGCCAGAGGTAATTCAGAATTGGGAAAAGACAACAGTGCCGTGTTCACCAGGTCATTCTTGCACGTTTCAAACTGTTTTTCAGCTTCTTCAGTCCATTCGATTTTACGTTTGTCCCTCTTTTTAGCTCCCTTGAGATACGCATGTAACAATGCTTGATTCTTCGCTGCATCCTTTATATAACGACGATAAAAGTTAAGTATTCCAAGAAAAGTTCTAAGTTCATGAATTGTTTCTGGTCGTTTGTAGTTAGTAATAGCTTGAACTCTTTCTGGCAAAGGACGGGAACCCTTAGGTGTAATTAGGTAGCCTAGAAACTCGATTTGGGGAACAGCAAAGACAGATTTTGAAACATTAATTCTTAACCCAAATGTATGTAATCTTTCGAAAACTAATTTAAGGTGATTTTCGTGTTCTTCATGGGTACTGGATGCAATGAGTATATCGTCTAAATAGGGAAAAACGAATTCTAATCCTCTAAAGACTTCGTGAATAAATCTTTGGAACGTTGCAGGAGCATTTTTTTAAACAGAAACTCATTACGTTAAATTCGTATAAACCGAAAGGAGTGATGATAGCTGTTTTACATTTGTCTTCTTCTGCAATGGGAATTTGAAATAAGCTTTGAATAAATAAGTTTTAGAAAAAAATATTTGTACCTCTTAAAATATGATGAAAATCTTCAATGCGAGGAATTGGGTATCGATCAGGTATCGTCTGCGCATTCAATCGTCGGTAGTCCCCGCAAGGACGATATGAACCATCCTTTTTCGTAACAAGGTGCAAGGGGCTTGACCACTGGGAGTTTGATGGACGAATTATTCCATTGTCAAGCATAAATTTAAATTCCTCTTTAGCTATAGCTAAGCGTTTTGGATCGAGCTGTCGTGCCTTTGAATAAACGGGTTGACCAATCAGTCGAAATAAAATGTGTAACACCATGTTTAATTTGTGTAGGAAAAAGGTTAGGTTTAGAAATTTCGGGATATTTCGACAGTAAATCGAAAATTTTTATGGATTTATTTAATGTGGTTACTGAGTAATCACTGGAAATAGCAGCGACATCACACTGGACACAAAGCTGTGTTACGCCATCAATTAATTTTTTCTTATTTATATCGACAAGCAATTTATATTTGTGAAGAAAGTCAGCTCCTAAAATACCTTTTGTGACATCAGCAATTATGAATGGAAACTGAAAATCACGACGTAATCCCAAATCAAGAGTTAGCGTTTTTATGCCATAAGTGGAAATATCTGTGCCATTAGCTGCATACAGTTTATATTCAGTTTTACATTTATTCTGTGAAGTAGCAGGAATTATGCTTACGTCAGCTCCGCTATCAATAAGAAAGTGCAAATTTGATCTTCGGTCACGAACGAATAAACGAAATTTGCGACAATCCTTCATATTTTCTGCAGCGTTTGCCGCTGAACCTACTGCAGATTCGAGTTTTCCTGGTTTTTTGAAATCGTTTTTTACCCAAGCACACGGAGGCTTGCATTTCTCTAGAATGAATTTTGCTCCAAACGAAAGTGATAAAAACAAAATTTGCCAGTAGGGTCATATCGTTTACGAGGTTGGCTTCGAGATCGTGAACGTGAATTACGTAAATCCGAGTCCCTTCGTCTTGAGCGAATGGTTACTTGATCAATTTTTTGTTCAAGAAAGGTAATTCTTTGCAACAAATCATTTGCGGGAACAGAAGGAGCATTAGTACTAAATACTTCTGGTTTCCGATTCATATCACTAATTTTATCTGCCATAGACGCTAACTTGGTTACATCTTCATCACTAACTAATAATATATTTTTTATGGAGTCAGGTAGCTTCTCCAGCCATAAAGTTTTGATTAGATTTTCAGACACATCTGTAGTAGCAACTGATCTCAACTTCTGCAAAACGTTGGCTTGGTTTCATGTCTCCAAGTTCGATACCAGTAATCAAACGTTTAATCCGTACATTTTCACTTTCTTTGAATAAATGTAATAACCTAATTTTAGCATCCGAATATTTTGTGGCACTATCGTTCGTTACAATGTCCCAAATATTTTCGACGAACTTAGGTTCAAGCTGTGAAACTAAATAATTAAATTTCGTTTCTTCTGAAACGATATATTACTAATTTTGAACTGAGCTTCAACTTGAAAAAAACCATATTTCCGGTTTATCAATCCAAAAAGGAGGTATTTTCACACTCACCTTATGAAGCTCCGGTGACTGCATCGTATCTTTCATAGCAGTTTCAGAAGAGTCATTTGTTGACATTTCGAAAATTAATCAGGGTCACCACGATGTAGCCTTGGCTACTAATGTTTAAAATTAATTTATGACTAGTAACAGCATGAATTATAAACAAATAGCTAAGTTATTGCATTTTATTTTCCAGCTATCGAAATGCGACGCTACGAGCAACGTTTTGAAACCAAAACCTAGCAATCATGAATCAGAACTAGAACTAGTTGCCATTCAGCATAAAGAAATTTAAATATAAATATGAATATTGCCATTCAGCATAAAAGAAATAAAAATAAAAAAATATTAAAGTTAATTTTGTAAAATAATTAAACACATGAACAGATATATGAAATAAAAAATAATTATTTCTCATGCAATAACTAGGCCGCTACAGTTATATCAATTTGTCTCAAATTTAATACACAAACTTGGCTATTTAAGAGAAATAATCTCGTTTCCCAAATTAGAATATTTTAAAGTTTGTTGTCATTCAGCAAAGCGTAAAATGTTTAATTTTCATGTATTAACATGCACTTATTAACATATGCATTGCTGCATATGTTATTGCGTTTTCTTTGCTTTTTGAACCTGAATTTAGAATAATTGTTACAAAGCATTACATTTGCAATTAAATCATTTATGCCACAAAAACGAAAATCTGTTGTTTGATCTACATCTGAAGCATGAAAGAAAAAGGCATAAACAAGTGGGCAATGGGAAGCAAGACTGAAAAACATTAAGAATGCACTATTGAAGTCTGTTCATATAAACCAAATGAGCAATGGGAAGCGTTGAAGTACACACTGCTCAAGTCCTTTCCTCTGAAACAGACGAGCAACACGTAGCAGGATTGGAAAATGTTCAAGTATACGTTGCTCGAGCCCATTTGTCTGAAGCAGATGAGCAGCAGGAAGCAAGACTGGAAAACATTTGAGTATGGACTGTTCGATCTGGACAAACACTGCACACTGATTTAAATCTTGGTGCATTCCATTACAATGCTTACAGTCTTTATTCAAGTGTGGTCATTGGAAAGATGGATAAATCATGCATATATTGCAGAGCCCTTAAATTTAAGAATGAAGCACTAGAAATTTGCTGTGCAGGTAGAAAAGAGAAGTTGCCATAATTAAATTCACCTCCCAAACCATCAACCTTGGTATTAGGTGACATGAGCTTATCGAAACATGCAAAATACACATAAAGAAAAAAAAAATTTGTAGCAGAATTAAAACTCAAACATTTTCTTAAGCAGCATTGCAACACATGCTGGGTAGCAGCTAGTGTCTTATAAATGAATGTAGTTCAAATGCATTGTTTTATATTATTTTATGTATTATGTTTGCATATTTTATTAAATTTAACAAGCTATGAAATTTTTAAATGATTTCCCCCCCTAGCTTCAAGATCAAATGGAAGCTCTTGAGTGTACTTTATCCCTTAGTGCAGAAGATGTACAAAAAAGAATTAATTTTAGCAAGACTATAGAAAATCTTCTGAAGCCTTTTTTTGGAGAAATTAAAATACAGATATTTGGTTCAACAATGAATGGTTTTGGATTTAAGGGGTGTGATATTGATATGTCTTTTGAAACTGCTCGAGAAAATGAAGAGGTAAGAATAGTTTGGTACTTTGGTGTTACAGCAACCACCTTGGTGGTAGAAGTCATCAGATTTGTAGAAGTTGCCAAACTGTGGCAACCAGGCGCTTAACAATTCTTTAGGTAAACATATTGATAACTGTAAGTCTGAATGAGTGAGGTTGCCATTTTTGTACATGATGTTTTGGTTGTATTAGAAGCTTTTAAGGCAAATGTTTGTGAGATTTGCCTGCAAACGAAAAAAGTTCTGTGAAATTTTTGCAGAAATATAATATTTTGCCACAAACACAGGAACGTTCAGGTTCATATTTGATGATGTTGAATTTTGGAAATGCGACAAAAAAAATTGTAATAAATATTTCAGCATTCGAAGCAGTAATTGTTTCAAGAATAGTCGTCTGTCATTTATTACAGCAGTTAGATTTATATATCGGAGTAAAGAACTAACGAGTGTTTAATTTTGCTTGGAAAAGTTAGAAATGGGCGATTAAGATTGTGGTAGACATTTGGAAAATAGGTAGAACAAAGGAGAAACAAAAGCCTATTTGTAAGTAGTTTTATTGGGATAAATATTGAACTAAAATTAAAATGTGTACCTAATAACATGTATTAGGTGAAATAAATAACTTTCTTCGGTTTGAAATAGCTATTCTTTTTCTTCTTAAAAAAAATCACCAAATTGTACCAAGGTGGTTGTGATAATACCAAAGTACCAATATTTTTAAAGAATTATTTTTATAATTCATTTCCAAGTACTTTTTGAATAGCCAATACTGTAGATTACATAAATAATTTTTAATAAGTATGATCAAATTGCTTGAATGTACTTTTTATCAGATCAGAAGAAATGAGAATGATTAAGAAACATTGATTAATGGATATAATACAATACAGATAATACACATAATACAATATTTATTTTAAAATACAAAAAATTTTAATTTAATATTATAAAGAAAACTATAATTGTTTTACAGTGTAGAGTCTAAAATCTGGACTCGTTGGGACTTCAGTGATACCAGATTTGGGATTTTTTTTCAAATATTGGATCATTATAAATCTAGGAAGATAACATGTAGAAATTATAAAATAAAAAATAAGTAGTTGTAGTTTATGAAATAATGAAGTATTTATGACTTTAAGGAAATCAAAATATAAAAAAAATTGTTTAAGTTGTTCTGCTTTTTGTACTAATACTTTCTCTTTAATTCTATCGATAGACATAATTTCTTGTCCAGTTACAGAGTCCCATTCTTCAATTACATTAATGTGCAATTTTTATTTACCTGTAAGATTTTAAGTAGCAGAGTCCTGTTCATTCTGATTTTTTTTGGTTCATATTACATATTTATTATTTAATTTCAAGAAAATGTATGTGGTTAAGATATAATGACACTACAATGCTTTATTGCTAAGCAGTTACCACTGTATACATTAATGAAGAAGTTATAATTTAATCTCATTTAGGTGAAATTAGTGAGAGTTAGCTAAGAATTCATACTTCTACAGGAAGGATCTGAATGTCTGTCTTTGTGTACAAATAATAATGACTATCCAATTGATTTATGAGTCATTATATCTGCAAGCTGCAGTTTATTTTCATTAAATAGATTATTAGTCATTACTAATAGTTTGTGATTTTTTATTTTAATAAAACTCCAAATATTGTGATTACCTTCGAAACTAGTCCTGCAAATTTATGAATATTACACTGATTCTTGTTGCTTTAACTCCTCCAGTTATTAAAATAAAAGGCCAGATAACTGGGTTTATTTTTGTTGCATATGCCAGATTTTTCCTTGTGTGTATTATGATGCAAGTGAGCATAATTTTTTAATCACATTTCAATCCAACTAAAATTATACAGTTAAATAAATATTTTTGTTTTTAAAAGACACACCTTTTCTTGGGGTGGGATTATGCCATAAGATAGTTATTTATTTTAAACCAAATGCATTATATGATTAAAAAAAAATGGTACTCTCTTTGAAAAGCTGCTGACAATTTGCCCCCCCCCAAAAAAAAAATAAGAAAAGAAAACTTGAACCTAAAACTAGCATGTAAAGAAATTAAGGATAAACTTAATTTAACAGAGCTTAGAAAGAACAGGAAATGATTCCTTGGTTTTCTGAAGCTAAAACTATTGGAATTTTACTTTATCTGCATGGTTTTTTTTTAATGTTCTAAATATTACTGAACTTTGTTTTATATGAGATCATTTCATATATGCTGCATATGCAATGCGGTATCTACAAATGTCAAAATCTTGTAAGAGCATCCAGTATTAAGATGTATTGTGCAGTATATTCTGGTATCCTCTTTTAACTTCAATCTATAAATCCAGTAAATTCATCCATCATAAATTTAAGCCCTAATAGTGGCCAAATGGTTAAGAGCACTTAATACTAGTAGTTCGAACCCAAGTAAATGAGCTGGCTGTATGGTTGGTTTCCCCCATGTGTAACAGGAATATGACTATTTCTTAGAAAAATTGTCCCTGAAGGCATTCCTTACCTTAGAGAGATAGCCTTTGTGAGCTTTGCCATATTCGAATAACCTTAACCCATCCATGGATTAAGGCTGTTTATCTTATAGAAGGTATGGAATTAATGAGCTGGTATCTTGACCTTATAGCTTTGTATTTAAAGTGTTTAATTTCTTATATTTCTGTTCTTACTACAGTAGAACTTTGTATCTTGAGCACCTTCATTTATGAGTATTTTGCAACACAAACAGAAATTTGAAGTAAGTTTCAGCTTGATAAACAAGCAATGCCTTGCAATACAATATGTATACACTTTGCCACTTTATAAAATTGCCAGTTGTGTCTTTGGATGAAGACCATGGGATTGTAGATAAATTGGAAGACATTCAAAAGCTCGCAGTGAAACATGGTCAAAAAGTAAATGCCATCAAAGTGATGGATCTACAGCAGCAGTTGCAAGGAGATCTCATCTGAGGAGGAGAAGAAAAATTCGGAGGAATCCATCACTTCAAATGAGATTAGAAAGGTATGTAAAATATGAAAAGGAGAGTAACATTTTCTAAAAAATGCTGTGCATACACATGAATAAGGACATAGTAATGTGAGCAGTGAATCTGTTTAACAACAGGACTATGCCATACTTTTTCAGAATCATGAAAAGAAGATGAAAGCAACTGTTAGTTTGTAAGTTCCTTGTTAAAGTTACACAGAAAGAAGAAGAATCCGGTAAGCTTAACAGATAGCAGTGATTCCGTTAGTTAAGTGTGGTTCTTTTCAAAAACATAGTGCAAGCTACTTTGTTTTATGTATTTTTATTTTATATTTAGCAGTATCATTTCATAGGAATATTTTCAGTTGTGGAAGGGGTCATATGAGTTTCCATTATTTTTCTTTTTTTATGGAAAATTTACTTTGATATATGTTTGCTTTGAATTACAAGCACACTTTTGAAATTAATTATACTTGCAAACCAAGGTACTACCATATATTGAGATGTTTAAATACCTACATCAAAATATTATTCTTTTATTTTATGAATGCTTTTAAAGTACTAATACATGTTCATAACAAAATCAAATTTTGATATTTTCTGTTAACAAGACACCCAAGGAGGTAGACCATTTGGCCACCCTCCTGAGATATTCTTTCTCAAAAATGTGGCTGAACTACACAGTTAATGTGGTGGAACTATACCTGCACAGCCTATGGTGCAATTCTGGTGTTCCACCCAGTTATACTTGTACCAACAAGACACCAGTCACCAAATGTGTGCCAAAGCACCATATGGAGTAGCATGTTTACAGCCCATCATGAATAGCTGGTAATGTGCATGATGTTTAATGTGTATAATGCCAAGACTGTGTGTGTTGCCTCATTGTCAGAGAATTTAGAAATTTGGCAACTTTACCATTGCACACCTTAAACATTGTGTATATTATACATGTGTATTGTTATATGATACGTTATTGTTATTACAAGCTAATTTTTCTTTTCTATGAAGTTTTACATATTCTTAGGGTTGCTGCCATCTAATTAGATTTCATGCCAACCTTTATGTTTGGCATTAAGTACACATTATTAACAGAAAAGCAGCAAAATTTATGTTTTTGAAGAATATTTTCATGATTGTATTTTCTTTTTCTAGATTAAATATTTGGAAAGTCCAGATGTTCCCTTAGTAAGTGAAGTATTAAGTGGAAAAGTTTCACCTTCTGAAATTTCTCAATTGCCTTCGAGAGAGCAGTTGCTTTTCATTCACTCTGTGCTATTAGAATATTATAAGGAATCCGAAGAACCTGCAATTTTTATAAATGCATATGTTCCTTTGGTGAGATTTCATCATGATAAGTTTAATTTAAAATGTGATCTTACATGTAGAAATAGGTGAGTTTAATTGTGTGTTTGGTATTGATTTTAATTCAAATTCATGTACTTTTCTTATTCTTTATACATGTATGTGTAGTAAACTTTATTATTTATTTTTGTCATTTGAACTAATAAAGATTTACCTCTATATAAAACAATAGGGAAATTAAGGTTGGAAACTACAGGTAACCCTCAAAGAAAATGACTAATTGGTTCCGTGTCCTTTGAAACCATGTTGTTTAAGACTCAAAAAAAAAAAAAAAAAAAAAAAAAAAAAAGAGGGGGGGGCATTTCATTTTGAGTGTGAAAATACATTTAAATTTTTTTTGTTTAAATATAAAATTAAAATTTTTTTTTGAATTCTTATTAGTAAACACTTTTAAGAAATCTTGAATTACTTAATTCAAATTAATTTTTTATTTAGTTTTGCAAAAATGTGCTATCTTAAATTTTTATCTTCAAAGTAAAAGAAAATAAAACATTTTTGCAGTGCATCACTTTTTTGAATTAAAATTACCTTACCATGCCATCTAGTCCTTATCAATGGAATCATCTAGGAAGGTTGTGATTCTAGTATATTTCTTGTAGGATGCCGAATATCCACGTTGCTTGGTTTGTCTTCATCTGAATATCTAGCAGTACTACATGATGGGTCATTCCTGTGTTGCAATTTCTCTAAATAATTTTTAATACAGTTCTTGAATTGTGCTGTGAATGTTGTTTGCTGTATTCTGTAAAGGTCCCTTTTTTTTTTTAAGAACATCTCCAGTTTGCCAGATGTAATGCATAATGTACATCATCAACAGAAACAATTTTTGGTTAGATACATTTTCATAATTTTCTTCAGCTTCTTTAGTCACTGAATTTGAATTGGATTCTTTTAGAAGCCTTCAGCTTCTTCATCCAATGTTTTTTTCTAAAAATAATTCGTCAACATCTTCAGCAGACATGTCATCAAACCCTCTACCACATAGTGAACATGCAGCATTAATTACCTGATTGTATTCGGTGTGCTTACGTGGAATACTGGAGTCTTCATATGTAGAGTCATTAGGATTTTTTTAGAGGCAGAAAAGATGAAAAATAGCAACCGCCTTCGCCGGGAATAACCACGTACCTCTGGAATACCGGCCCAGCGTGCTGAACCACTATACCACGAAGGACGCTAGGAAAGTGGGAGAAATACCTTATACATAAATCAAGTCCAGTAAAAGAACTTTCTGACTTGCATTCAGTGTCGAAGCTTTCAGATCATGTATAGATGAAGCTACAGTATTTAATGTGGTCCAAGATTGAAAATTCCTTCCAGACTTGGGTTAGTGCCGCATTTTCTGCAGCTTCTAAATTATCCAAAATAGACGGAAAAGACATTCATATGTAATATGCCTTAAATGTTGATATTACACCTTTATCCAGTGGCTGGATTAGTAATGTAGTATTTGGTTACATTTGGATATTATAACTCCTCTAAATGTCAGGGGCATTAGTAGTAATACTTTGAAACTAAAGTTTTTTTTTTAAATACCTTTCTACTTCAGGTACAAAACAGTTGCAAAACCAGTCTGCAAACATAGAGGAAGTCATCCGAACTCTATTGTTTGGCTCACCAATAAATCGGTAGCAGCTCTTTATCTAAGTTTTTCAGTGAGCGAGGATTCATTGATTTGTTTATAAATAATGGTTTCATGCATCAATCTCCTGACGCATAAGAGAAAATGATACTTTCCTTAGCAATTTTGAATCCTGGCATAGAATTCTAGTTTTATATATATATTCTAGTTTTATATATATGCAGGAGATGGCAGTTTTTTTTTTCAATTTAAACCAATCTCATCAACATTAAAAATTTGGTCCGCTGCATAACATTTATCTTTAACAATTTTCTGCAACTCTGTTGTAGATTGATGAGCAGCCTCTATATCTGCAGAAGCATTTTCTCCATGGAGCCCGATATTTTGTAGGGAATACCTTGCTTTAAAACTTTCCATCCAGCCTTTTACTTGCACAAAATGATTGTGATTGATGTTCTGTTGTAGTTTTCTGGCCTGCTTGTAAATGCATATATATCTTAAGCACTTTTTGTTTGATAATGTTTCCACTCAAAGGCACTCTTTTATTACAAAATCATCAATCCATATTGACAGCACTTTCTCTGTATTCATAATATTTGCATTTGTTTAACAACTAAAGGTACTATTGATGCTTACACTCTTATTTCTTCTTCATTCTTTTTTATTGTACCAATAGTGGCCTCATTCAAGTTCTCTGTCTTTGTAACAACTGATAATTTTTTTCCTTTCTTTAGTCGGTCCAAAATTTTTACATAAGTTTCAAGTGTACACCTTTTTCAAACTATCTTTTTATTTTTTACAGAATTTTGTAAATTAAGGATTAAAAAAAAAAAAAAAAAAAAAAACTAGAAATCAATTGATCAAACACTTGTAAAAAACTTGATTGAAAATATTAAAAATTTGAAACTCAGAATCTCCTCCACTTTGTACATACTGAAATGAGTTCGGGCAAGGTCACATAGATATTTCTTATCAGATTTCACCCTTAAACATCATTCAGTAGTTTCTGGAAAAGGAGACTCTTACAATGGACTTGGAATGCACCCCCGAAACTTTTTAGTGCCAGAGTGGAAATCATTCTTCCCTATTCAGCAGAGGAAGCGACCTCATGGGAAAGAGTTGATGTTTGGACAGGTAAAATTACTTGAAAATTGTGTAGTTTGAAACTGTGTAATTTGGGGGGAGGTATTCATGTTCTTCGAAACTCGTGAGCAAATTACTTTCATTAAAAATAAGTGTTATTAAACATTAAGGTGAAAGCAACTTTTTTTTACTGAAGTGACTAATTTAATAGCAAAATAACTTTTTATTTTAAATAGCATAATAAAGCTAAATGCTATTCAGAACTAAATATTTAGTACTATACTTGTGAAAGTAAATAAAAATATCAGTACAGAACAATTTATATTGAAGGATTTATGTATCCATGTACATTGTTGTTAATTTTAAATCTCCAAACTCAGCCCAAAGATATTCATGATAAGAGGTAGTTAACTCAATCATTTTAACATGAAAGATTAAAGTCAAGAAATGAAAGGATAATTTAAAGCTTTTTCTGCCTGCTCCCTGACTTTTTTAATGATTTAAGTGTGTAACTAATTATTTACATTTAGCTCACTATCATATTTAGCATATTAGTCATTATCGGAGGTAGCTAAGTTTTGTTTTACTAATCTTAAATAATGTAATAACAAATTATTCAACAGATTTGACAGTCGCATTAAGATTCTTTACAAGGGAAAAAATACATTCATTGCAACAAAAGCAAACACTAATGATCATCTGCTGTGTGCGTGCATATACCCGAGTTGTCAAATAAATACATTTGTGTGACAGAGTGCCTATTTTGGTGACATAGAGTGTTACTTCATCAATACTTTTCAGGGAAGTGCAGAATATCAGAAAGTACTGCTTTTTCTTATAAAAGTTTTGCATAATATTTTTTTAACTAAAAAAAAATGTCTTTCTGTTTCAATTTTAGAGTTGCCTTTGCAAACACCAAATTGATGTACCTGTTTGCAAATCTTGATAAGCGTGTTAAACCTTTGATGATGACAATACGTTATTGGGCAAAGCATGCAGAAGTGATTGGAAAGGGTCTGTTGTTTAACACATACACAATATCTCTGATGGTTATTTATTTCCTGCAGACACGAAATCCACCTATTCTTCCCAGTGCTGAATATATTGTATCTTTATCAAGTATGTCTGTATGTAACATAATAAAATTTAAATGCTAGTTAATATTTTTTTTCATTGTAAACTACTGGTTGTATTTCATTTATTTTTATGCAAAATGTAAGCTCTCTCTTTTATTATTATTTAGATAGCTTAAAAATTGATGATATGAATGATAAAAGTTTCCTGATCATCAGAAATCAAATTCCAGCATCTAAAAATAATCAAAGTTTAGGTATGTGTAAATTTTTTTTCTTTATGTTCTTAAAAATGTATTTACTTATGCTACATTTTATAATTATGCTGCATTTAAATTTTACTGCTTATCAAAATCTGAGAATAAATATTTGTAATTTCCTGCAAGAAAGGGGTTTTCATGAAAGAGTGTGTTTATCATTTACCATTTTTTTTAAATATTCTAAGCCGGTACTTCCCTTCCTTTAAATATTATTAATCATGAATGTGAACCTACTGTGTTTTTATACCAAGAAATAGACCCATTGTTTGTAAGATTTTCATCATATCATTTCAGTTGTAATCATTCTGTTTTTATATACAAGAAAAATCATTTCAAATTTTGATAGCTTTCTTTAAGATATTGTTATAGTCTTTGTATTTAGTTGTCTATTTTTAATAAAATTGTAATTAAAATTGTTTTATTTCCCTGTGCAATGCAGTGCGTTCATTCTGTTTTTATGTGCAAGAAAAGTCATTCCAAATTTTGATAGCTTTCTTTAAGATATTGTTATAGACTTTGTATTTAGTTGTCTGTTTTTAGTAGAATTGTAATTAAAATTGTTTTTTTCCTCATGCAATGCAGTGCGTGACAGCGGAAAAGTAAAAATATATGAGCACATGCATTTAACTTTTAATAAAAGTTTATCTCCGTAATTGGTATTTAATTTTGAATAAATGTAATTAACTACAATGTTAACTGTAACCATAATTCTATGCTTTTTGCTTTCCAGAAATTGCTAGAGCTCTTCAATTTAAAATGTGCGGCTGATTTAAAAAGCTATAATATAAAAAGCTGATATAAAAAGCTATAAAAGCCAGAGAGAGAATATCTCATCTCAGTTGTTGTTTAGATAACTGTTGTTTGCTAATTGTAGCGAATTTGTGGTGAGATCAGATTAGCTTTCTCTGCGCTTTGGATTGCGTTCTATTTAATGTTTTAGTAGTTTAAAATTTAGCTACTGATTATATTGTGGGATATTGTGATTTTGTACGAATATCTTCAAGGAAAATCCCAGCATTTTTGTTATATTTCTTGTACTAAGAATAAATTTTGTTAACTTTTTATCAGACTTGTGCATTCAATTTACACTCAAGTGCCACTGAATTAGGGTTAGCTAATTAAGACACAATACACGCCGAATAAAAAGCTTTCAAGTTCAGTAAAGTTTCAGATTCAAAGAAAGAAATGATTAGGCATCTTATCGCTCATAATGTGAAATTCAATAATAAACCTTTGAAACCAAATCTAACTGCGAGAGAAAGAGCTACAATGCGCGAAATTCATTCTAACCTGGATATTATCATTTCAAAGGCCGACAAAGGTGGCCAGATAGTCGTCATGGATAAGAACACTTACATCGATGGTGTCACTAAACTCTTAAACGAAGGACCATATAATCCGATCCCTAAAGATCCTTCACCTTCGGACTTATCCAAAATAAAAACTGCGATCAAATCTTCGCAAATCATTTCAAGCAACTTAAAACATTCACTTATCCCATCTGTTGCGAATTGTGCCAGATTATATGCTCTTCAAAATTCATAAAAGTGGTATTCCTTTCCGCCCTATTGTATCAAATTTAGGTACTGCCTCGTATCCTTTAGCTAAATATTTAGTTTCTAGATTTTCCACTCTAATAGACAATTACATTTACACCATAAAAAATTCAATAGAGTTTGTAAAAAAGGTTAAAAACATTTCTCCTAGTAATTTACTCATGGTTTCTTTTGATGTAAAATCATTATTCACCAATGTCCCAGTGGAGGGTGCATTAAGATGTCTAGAAACCAGACTTTGCGAATTTCATTTCTCTTGCATCGAAATTGATGAGCTAATTTCTCTCACTCAACTCTGTTTTGAAACAAACACATTTTGTTTTCCAAAATAAATATTACAAGCAAACTGAGGGATTAGCCATGGGAAGCCCCCTCAGTCCCATCCTGGCTGATATCTACATGCATTATTATGAATCAAAATTGTTTGAAAACTTTAAACTTCCCGGCATGGTTCCGCTACGTAGACGATACTTTTACCCTGTTTGAAGGTAATAAAGATGATTTAAATAGAGTTCTTTCAACAATGAATTCTTTGATCCTGCTATTCAGTTCACTTTTGAACTTGAGACTTGCAATTCTCTTCCGTTTCTCGACATTCTGGTCACACGTAACACATCCAACTTCAATACTACAGTTTACGTAAAACCTTCATCGGTTTGCCTTCCACCACACTTTAAATCATGTCATCCGACTAAACAAAAGTTAGCTTCATTTTATTCCTATGTTTTCCGTGCTCTTCAAGTTTGCTCCTCCAAACTAGCCCTTGATGAAAAACTAAATTATTTAAAAGCAATAGCTATTGACAGGGGCTTTTCACCCAACATTATTAATCAAGCAGTTAAAAAATTCTCATCTCAACACACTAAAAGCCACACTCTTATTTTAGGAGATTATAAAAATTCTGTTGTCATTCCCTTCTTTCCATCAATTAGCTATAAAGTTGCACATATTTTGCAGCAGAAATTTAACTTCGGGTTGTTTATTCTCCCATCAATAAAATTCCAACTTCTATACTCAAGGACCCCATTCCGGATATGAATTCCTGGGGTATTTATAGGATTCCTTGCCAGTGTGGTTTAATTTACATTGGCCAAAACTAAGAGAGCCTTAAAATTTCGCGTCAAGGAACATGAGACATATGTTAGAAAAAAGGAAAACAAGAAGTCTTCTGTTGCTCAACATTGTTGGTCCGAAAATCACACTTTCAATTTTTCTGCTGCCAAAATTATTCAAAAAACAACTTCCATTGGAGAACTGGATTTTCTAGAGGCATTTCACATTCATAAAAATCTTTCTGTTCTAGTTAACGATCCTAATTCCAATCCAAATTTGCCTTCGGCTTTTAGAGAAATTATGTTTTAGTTCTGGTTTCGCCAACAGATGGCGCCACTTGCTTATTCTTGTCCAGGCTTTCTTATCTTATCTAATCATTATTTCCTATCTTGTTCATTTGCGGTTTTGCAGCTGAAGATGATGGTTCGGTAAAACCATCGAAACTAGTCCTGTGGAAGTTTTGTAGGTATAATGCTGATTTTTGTTGTTTGACTTCTGAATTAGGGTTAGCTAGTCAATAACTAGCGAGTTGGGCTTCCTCTGGCCTTTTATAATGGCTGCCAAACAACGAAGCATAGATTAAAAAAATTTCTGGAAACATTTTATGGGAATGGCTTGCCAAACATCAGATAGAGCTGTCTATAATTTAGGAAGACTCGCTAGTGTTGTGTGATGAGGTTTTAAACCTTTATCCAAAACTTCCAAAAGATGCTTAGTAGAATTTAAGTCAGAACTTTTAAGTAGCCAGTTTATGACAGAGAAGTCAAAAGAACGCTCATCCAACCAGGCTGTAGCCAACCGAGAACTTGAGAAGTGCAGTTATCTTGCTGGGATACTCCATTTCCGTGTGAATGATAAGACAGCATAAATGGATAGAGATGATCGCCCAGCAACTCTACATACCGAATCATATTGACGAAGGTTGGTACAAGTACCAAAGATCCCAAACACTGCCAAGAGAAAACACCCCAGACCATGATTAAGCCATCATAGCTTTGTACAGTTCCAAACTGCCATACAGGATTCATGGCTTCATGAGTAAGATGTCATATTCTCAGCCTCCCATCGGTATTAATCGGTAGTCGGAATCGAGACTCATCACCCCTTGCTACTGATTTCAAGTCTATTCTCTGTATTGAGCATTCAGTACTGTCATGAATCTATGGCTTCCAAAGTCCATATGGTGAAGTGAGCATTGCACATCCATTTTTGCATTGCATATCCATTTTTTGACTATACAACTGTCGGCCTGATTCAGCTGGGTGGTAATTTGAGATAATGTTTGGCTTCATTGACTATGTACAATACGGCTGAGTCGTCTCACACCACTCTTGTTCTAGGTTAATTGTCCTTTGCAATTAGCCTGATCGCTAGTTCTTTTTCCCACCATCCATGTATTCTCAGTATATGCTTGACTCTGTCGACCTTGAAAATTTTAGCTCGCTGAGGATTTTGGAAATTGAATGGTCCATATATCGAATGCCTACTATCTGTTTGTGATCGAAGCTGCCTAAATCAGAAGTTTTACCCATACTGGTAATTGAAAAAGACTGATTAACAACAACCATAGTACTATCTATATGTGCACATACCACAACTTCCTTACATGAGCACAGATGCGGCGCAGCACTATAAAATTTGCATAGCTATGCCTATCCCTAATTCAGTGGCACTTCAGTGTATTACCAAACCATACGCAAGCAACAATATATAAAGTTGTCAGTAATTACAGAGGCATACTTTAGATTTAAAGTAAGGCTACTTTGATTCAATAAATCTTGTTCAATAAAATATTAACAAATATGTAAAACATAATTAGTAATAATGCTTTATTCCACTGTAAACAGTTTTGCCTTCAAAATGTTTTAAAATACAAATTGCTTTTTATAATGGCAATAAATACATATACCTAGCAGTGGTATATGTATATTTTATATATATATAAACTATTATGAAAAAGTGTTAAAAAGAAAAGAGTTACTAAAAATGTAATAAAATCAAGTGCTTAAGATAGAAAATTTAGTTTTATAAAATAAAAAATATTTTACTATAAAGATTATACTATACTTGAAAGTTTAAGAAACATTTTAACTGAACTATTAGATTAACGAAAACAATAGCAACTATATTAAGTATTTTGAAGTATTAGTTAAAGATTTCTATGAAAGCATGTAAGGCATTTTTTGTAAAGTTTTTAAAAACACTTAAAAAATCTGAAAATTAATTATTTATAATTTAATGCTTCAAATAGTCTCATAAAGGGGTAATTATTTATGTTTAATATTTTAAATAATTTCCCCCTGGCCTGTCTATTATTTTTGTCTAAACATTTAACTCTTTCAAAATGCATAATATAGTTACTAATTGTTGTTTTCTTAATGTATTATTACAATTAAAATGTTTCTCCTAAACTTCCTGCATAGTATAATCTTTGGTAAAAATTATTTTAATTTTTTAAAATAAATATCATATTAGAATAGATAATTATGAAATGAAAATCCGTTTTAGTCAAATAATAGTTTTATTTTATATTTTTAAACAAATCAAAACTATTTTAATAATAAAGAAAATTAATTAGCAGCAAAATCTCACAGAAACAATCTTAACTCCTTGACATACAAATAAGAGATTGGGGAAAAACATGCAAAACAGGATCAAAGCATGACTGCAGTTAAAGAACGCAATAATATACTGCATGGCGTTTGCCAAAAAAGTTCTTGCCGTCTCAAAGATATCAAAGTCTACAATGACGTCTCGCAAACGTCGTTGTATGTCAAGGGTTTAATAAATGTATAGCTAACTCAAAAGATGGAAAAGTAATAAATGGATTTTCAAAACACATAATTAGAGCAGTTGTTTGTATGCTTTTGTTGAGGCAAAAGAATGTGTTATATTTTCAGGTCCATTTTACTTGCTTCTTCACATTTGATGACAAGAAGCGAAAGTCTAATTGTGTGTGTCCAGTCGTATTTCTCCTGTAATCTTTAATGATTTTTAGCGATCTTTCTAACAGGAATTGATGAATAAGAAAAGTATACATTTAACATTTTGCTTTATGTTAAATAGTATTTTTTACTTTCGTGTACGAAGTAAAGGAAGTATTGTAATACCAAAAAATTCTGGGTATCATATTTCAATGAAAATATCCATTTTGATGGCTATTGAATGCAACTTAATGATGCTTTTGTGTTACATCTGTATGTAAGGACAGAATAAAGGACTCTTTTTCTCCAAACGAATTATAAAATTGATTTAAAATGGATTCAGAACAGATTTTGGTTTGTGCTGTCTGTACATATGTATGTATGTATGTATGAATGTATCTCATGTAACTCAAAAACGAGTAGCCTCAGAACATTGAAATTTTGTATATAGGACTGCTATAACATGTAGTTGTGCACCTCCCTTTTTGGTAGCAATCGGCTGCACCACTCTTTTACTCGGCTCCGTGATCTTAGTTCTTTTTTTATATGTTGGCAAATTAAACATTTTCTGCTTTAAAAATGATTGAATTATGTTGTTCTTATTTTCCACTTAAGGTTTTTATGCCTTTAGTTAATCTATGTGCAATAGTTGTAGAATTATCAACGATTTAAATGTTGTTTAAGTGTGGCTAAGCCTAATTTTTGTTTACTATAGCAGCCATACTTGTTTTTTAATTGCAATTCCTTACTAAATATAGTATTTCATCTCGTTGTACTCCGTCTTTGATATGATTTAAATCAAATTCCTCATCATTATAGATATCACGAATACACATCAAATAGTTTTCTGGTTGCAATTTTCTAATTTCGACAATGCGTAATTGATGCAAAAGCAAAGTTTAAAGTTGTAAAACTTTTAGCAAAAGTAGCAATAGAAGCTCTCTAAGGTTATGTACTGTGCAGACATTGAAGACAAAAATTTTAAACTTAACCAATTTATTAACAATATATAAAAATAAAAACACAATGAATAAATTTAATCAATATCAGAAATTTAAAGAGTATAACATAATCATTATCAAAATTACACTTAGTTGATAATCCATTAACCCCAAGGGTTTTCCTTTTTAAAGAATGTTACACTATTAAAGAATATTTTACCTGATCTCCAAATACTGGCATTCAATATGCGAAAAACATATCACTAAACAGAAATTACATGGTTTTAATGAAATTTGCTACACTATCAATAAGTACATGCTTCATGGTCAAGAAGGCACCTGGAAAATTAAATTAAATCCTTGAGAGCACTTTAACTGGCAAAACGCCGCTAACTGTAGTTACACATGAGAAGTCACAGCTTGGAAAAATCATCGCCGCTAATTCGGGAAAAACACTTGTGCTGAAGAAGCCGCCTTCATGAAGACAGGATGCCGGCCACGGCAGTCGCTCACATCGTAGCCTCTTTTGAGAATCCAGGAAAAGTCATCTTGTAGACTGGAACCACGGCACTAGTCACTGGACAGCACGCATCTCAATATCGTCTTCCTGTGGTGGCTGGAACGGCACACCAAGGAGCAAAGAAACAGGAACCAGAAGGAAAAAGTGATGAGTCAAGTTCCAAGTTACACTTATGCCGATTATCAAGCATTCTGCTTGATGTGTTCTGGCTGTCATCAGATGTTTGCTCTTTGGGTGCTGAAAAGAGAATAAGTTCGAAGTGTGAGTCCAGAAGGTCAGGAGCTAATGGCGAAGGGGCGTGACCAACAAATTTTCAAAAAGCCTCCAGTCTGTGTAAGTTCTGGTTGTATTAGTCGAGAGTTTAGGAATTCCTAAGGTAGCAATTACAGGTAGATGGTCAGAGTCGAGTTCGTGAATTACATCTAATGCCATTGTAGTCGGAACCGTTGTAGTCGCAAGAACAATATCTAGAATGTCTGATTTTTCTAGCCGGTCCGGTCGATATGTGTATTCACTTGGGGAGTGCAATACTACAGGGTGATTTGTGACATACTCATGCAAAATTTTCCCATTGGCATTGCCTCTTCTACAGTTCCATGCTGTATGCTTAGAATTAAAGTCCCCAGCAGCAATCGTAGGGAAGTCTCGCAGTAACTCAAAGTGATGAGCCATGAATTGCCATGAATTTCGGTTATGACGAGTCTTCGACCCGAGGGTCTTTATTCCTACATTATTTCCCCTACTGGGGCAGTCATAGTACGCATAAATGTACCTTAGAAAGGTGCTTGTTTCTTCTTTAGGTGCAGAGGAAGGCGAGAGTGTTGCCATCTATTGGCTGTAGGATTAATAACGTCTTGAAGTTTTGTAAAAAATTGGACGAACATAATTGAGTAAAATAATTGTGAGGATAAATATGAAATTGTTACTTAAAGGAGAGTGAATGATGCATCGAAGCGATGTGGTGAGAAGAGTAAAATTATCCAAATGATCGCTGGATGTGAAAGTAGAATTTTTGTTGGTCACGTGACGTGAAACTTTCAAGATCGAATCTGTATTACTTTACAGAACAATTTTGGTGCATAAACAAGTAAATACAAGTAGAAAATGAAGGTGAACTTGATTAAATAGACACGTAC